GGCCTGCCAAATCTTTTTTGGCAAACCTCCAAACTCGGGGATCTGGGAAGCTAGAACGCTGATATCGTAGTATGATGTTCCCCGTCTAAGTAGGTATTAGTGCACCGAAGCCCGTCCCCCCAGAGAGCATGGCAAGCGGGTAATGGCCTGCCAAATTTGTTTTGAAAAAGTTCATAACTCGGGGATCTGAAGAGCTAGAACGCTGAAATCACAGTATGATGTTCCCCGTCCAAGTAGATGTTAAGGTAGTGAACCCCGTCCTTCCAGAGAGCATCTCAAGCGCGTAATGGCCTGCCAAATTTTTTTTTTTTTAAGTTATGAACTTATCCGAACCTTCGCGGGCCCGTACGCGAATACCACGCGTTTATGGGATGGGTTTCAGTGCATTAACATCTACTTGGGGAACATCCCTTTGAGATTTCAGCGCTCTAGCTTTTCAGATCACTGAGTTATGAACTTATCCGAAAAAAATTTGGCGAGCCCGTACGCAAATACCACGCCTGTACGGCGGATGGTTTCAGCGTATTAATATCTACTTGGACGGGGAACATCCCTCTAAGGTTTCTGCGCTCTAGCTTCTCATATCCCCGAGTTATGAACTTTTCCGAAAAAAAATTTGGCGGCCCCATACGCGGGTGCCACCCTTACCCAGGAGACGGGTTTAAGCTCATTAATACCTACTTGGGCGGGGAACGCCCTCCTAAGATTTCAGCATCTAGCTTCTCAGATTCCTCAGTTATGCGCTTACTCGTAAAAAAATTTGGCGGCCCCATACGCGGGTATCTCGCTTACCCGGGAGACAGGTTTGAGCTCATTAATACCTACCTTGACAGGGAACATTCTGCCAAGATTTCGGCATTCTAGCTTCTCAAATTCCCGTGTTATGAACTTACTCGTAAAAAATTTTGGGGGCCCATACGCGGGTACCACGTTTGCGCGGGGGCTGGGTTTCAGCTCATTAATGCCTACTTGAGCGGAGAGCATCCTCTTCAAATTTCAGCTTTCTAGCTTCTCAGATCCCCAAGTAATGAGCTTATCCGAAAAAAATTTTGGCGGGCCGGTACGCGGGTACCACGTTTACCCGGGGGCTCATACAACACGAATGCATCGGGCTAATGTCAACCAGAGAGATGAATGCAAGGAACCTGGTATTTTCGAGCTTTAGTCTGAAAACTGCCTCCATATTCTAAAGTTAAAAGCTCCGAACTGAAATTTTTGGCCGAAAAAACCGCGAATACAGACTGACAGACATGGAAAGAGGCATGGAACGAGTAGGTGTCAAAAAACAACAGCAAAATTTTCAATGAAGTGTCGCGTTTTTGGATTGGCCTACGTAACAATACTAAGAGTGTGCCAGAAGAGGTAGGGTGGTATTTTAACACAAACGAGAGACCATAAGTGGAAATAAGGATGACTGAATCACGCAATGTTAAAAGAATACGCAGAAGGCAGGAAGGTCCCTTTTCATCAGCTGTACGATTATGAGAAAGGCAGATTTGAAATGGAGGAATAATCACAAGTTGCCAGCAACATCAGTGGGAGAAGGAAGAATGTAATAATAAAGCACTAACCAAAGTACCAAAATCAAAATCGAAAAAACAAAATACGCCTTCCACGAAATGCCGATGCATTTGGAAGCAACCCGAGAGAAAAAAGTGTCAAAAGCTATCGTCCGCTGGCAAAGCTATTGACGGTTGCTTCTTTCGAGGATGCTTATTTTGTAGCAAGCTGATGGCGAGTTTTACTCCCTAACCAAAGTACCCGTAAATAAAATGCCAGTACGAGAGCAAGTACCAATAAATAAAGGTAACTAAAAAAGGTTCATAAAACAGAAGTTTGTAGTCATGCAACCTAAAATCGAGAAGTATGGGATGGCTTTACTCTTTCTTCCTCCTCCCCCTTCCCCGCCCCTCCTTATTCATCTCCTTCTACTTATAAAAGAAAATCACAATCAGATTAGCGCATTTTTGAAGCGGCAGTAGACCATGAGCGGATGAAAAGAAAATAAGAAGGCAACAAATATTTGAATTCTTTTTATCATATATCAATTTCTTCTATTTCGAACTCTTCTTCCTCGTCGACGACTGTAGGGAATGTTTGTTTTACCCGTGGATTGAAGCCGACGCCAACAGGGCTACTGCAACATGCAGTGGAATCCATAGACATAAGCACTTTGTATTGACAGCAATCCAGTTTCTGCGGCCGAATGATCCGAATCATTGGAAGAGTTCTAAAAACTAACATATATTCAGCGCAAAATTTTTCCGGATCATGTGATTGTTTATTTTCTGTAGGAAAATTAATGGAATAAAACAGCAAATTTTAATAAAATTAAAATAGTCAAATAAAAAAACGGAATTTGGAAAAAAACAACAGCAAAATTGGCTTCAGTTTTTAAGTAGCATAAAAGGTGGACTTACAAGGAAAGAAGGTCGCCGTGTGATTGTAACGGGAATGCAGCGTAAATTTCCTTCTTTTTATTCATTATTCGGATCTCTGAACTGGTCCACTGCGGTTTGTGGAAAAGATATAAACCCTTTCCTGAAAAAAAAAGGCATGCGTTTAAAAATAACAATCTTTGTCTAAATAACTTATAACTAAGCTCATTAGAGCAATCTACTTTTCGAAATTCAAATCACTGCTTTTACCTGATCTACTTGTTGTTCCATAATTATAAAATAGCGCTGATCGTGCAGCTATCTGAAACAGTCAGATTGTTTTTAAGCAAAAAAAAAATTCACATATCTCAAATTTTTCAAAAATTCACGCTTTTTTCCCAAACAATGTCAAAATTGAATTTTTCGCTAGAAAAACCTCAACATCCTGTCTTTTTTCTGGACTAGTCTAGCACTAATTTCATCTCTCTCAGTGTGATTTTTCAGTGGATTTTGAATAAATAGCATAAGAAAAAAAGCCTGCCTCGCCTTCGTATACAGAAAGAGCAGAGTCGATTCGAATTTGCCAGTGGCCGAGAGCTGAATCGAATAAACTAAGGTTATCAAAGATATGCAGGCAAGATGAAATAGAAGCAGCGAAATGGGGCTCGTGTTCATGTAGAAACAGCGCTAACTGAAAAGATGCAATGCTGTAATTAAAAGCTATCAAAAAATTTATTTTTCAAGTTAATTCTTTTTTCAAACGCTTATACAACTTCAAGTCGGCAAGGGACTTCATTCTGGTCCAAAATTTGTAGTGTCTGCAATGAACTAGAGATGCCTAACATATGTTTAAGGATTCTCGGAACAACTTAAACTTGCCAACTGTTTTTATGCGTTTTGTGCTGTGTAACAGCAGTACAAAACGCATATTGTTACGGGGTCGTCTGT